GCTGTTTCTTTCTTAATTTTACCCCCCCCCCAGCCCCCAGGAGCATTCTATAAGCCTCCTAAAGGCTATGCATGCCTTTTTTTGATAAAAATGGGCTGTTTTTGCCCCCCCCACCCCCAGGAGCACTCTGCAAGCCTCCTAAGGGTATTCATGCCCTTTTTCTTTTGAAAAAAAGGGCCCGTTTTCACGAAAAACAGGCCATTTTGGGGAGGTCTGCAGAGTGCAAAAACTTTTTTTTAATTTGCCTCTTTGAAATCTTGGTGCGTCTTATACTCCGAAAAATACAGGTACCTATTGTTTGCAGTGGTAGAAATCAATCAGAACACTAAAACAAGAGTTGGTCCATGAATGTAATAATCCTTACAGACAGGAACTGAGGCCTTCCTGGACTAAACGCCATAGAGCAGTGCAAATACGGTACACCCAGGTAATTCAAGATAACGTGGAATGCTCCTGAGCTGGGTGATCAGGTTAATAAATAATATATTTATATACATATACCAGATCCTGTTGCTGCTTTGAATAACAATGCCAGTAAAGTTGGAAGCCTGTTAGGGTTCATGGAGAAATTAGGGAGGAATATTGGAATGTCGTGAGCTTCTTTTTCAAAGCAGCAGGTGCATTTCCTCCTGCAAAACATTTTTTAAGCGTCAGGAAGCTGAAAGGCTGCCATTGTTCAGATCGGGGACAGGCTGGTGAGAAAGACATTTGAGAAGGCAACAAACCAGGTATCTCAGGTGAAAACCATCCGTGGCGCAGTCTTTTTGCCAGGGAACACGGCCCCTGAATGTTCAGCTTGGAGGAGCTGTACCGAACGTTTGCTTGACGTGGGTTTCTTTCTGCATAGGATTTGGCGAAATGGAAAAGTAGGCGCAGGAGTCACACCTCTGATCTGCAAAGGAAAAAGGAGGAGAGAGAAGAAATTGAGCGGAAGAGTTCGGAAAGCTCAGAACGGCGCAGCAAAACCCTGAGAGAAATGCAGAGAGACAGGTAATTCTAGCCAGCCATGTCTCAGTAGCTTTAAAAGCTTAATCCTTTTTTTTTTAACGTTGGCTTGAATTCAGCAGCAACTAGATTTAACTGATTGCCTTTGAAATTTATTTACACGCCCTCAGTTTGCCGGCATATTTAATTTTCAGTTCTCCTCACCGGGAGTGATTTGGTCATTGTGTTTCTAAATAATTAATGGATAACCATCTAATGTCCATAGCATTAATTTACCAAATATGCCAACAATTTCAATGCACCTTTTGAAAGGGACCTTTTAATTTCAGCTTCATTGAAAGTCGCCGTATTAGCAGGGTTCGTTTTCAGCTTCCTCATTTGTTTGGGGGTTGTTGTTTTTCGTGACCCATCAAATGCGCACACGACAAATGCGCGCCGACAAAACCGTGCCAACAAAACCGCGCCCACCATCAACAAACAACATAGTGGGACGCGAAAACAACGTTATAAAGGGTTAGGGTTAGGATTAGTGTTATAATGTTGTTTTCGCGTCCCACTATGTTGTTTGTTGATGGCGGGTGCGGTTTCGTCAGCGCGGTTTCGTCGGCGCGCATTTGTCGGTGCACCGTTGTTTTTTGCATTATAGTATTTGTCTCTGGATTCCCAATCAACTTGTTTTGACACAGGCCCTATTTTTGCATTTTTAATATAATATAACTATTGAGGAGAATTGGAGGAGCGGAAGGGGTGGAGTTTTATCCTGCAAAAGAGCCTTTTAAAGGTTTTCCCTGACCTGTCTCATTTTGTCCTAGTTTGATGCTATCAGGTATCCTGGGTGAATACAAGGGGCCCTTCATGCTTCCTTAAGAAGGAAAGCACCAATAACATTCTGTTTATAGATAGTCCTTGACTTGCGACCACAACTGAAGCCAACATTTCTGTTGCTAAACAAGACAGTGGTTAAGTGAATTTTGCCGCATTTTACAACTTTTCTTGCCACCGTTGTGAAGTCATGGATGCATTTAGTACCGTATT